TTGATTTTCTCTTTCATTAAAGGTTTTTAAAAATGGAGAAGGATTGTGTAACCAGATTTATGGACAATGCTTCAAATATGAAAGGTCTTCCAACTGCATGGTGTTTGATTTCAAAGGCGAAAATCCAAACGACAAAGTAGTGCCACGTTCTTCGCCATAGATTTAAACAAGAATTAACGCTARCAATAGGCTCGAATATGAAGCGTCATCGAGAAACGATGTAATAAAAAATAAATAAATAAATAATTTAAAAATAAAAATAAAGAGTATGCTAGCAGGATTGAGCWTATTTTCCATAGTCTTTATTAGTCTAAGAATAGAATTAAATATTACAATTGGGTGAGCCAAAAGAAATGCCATGATAGCATAAATAAAGGAGAGGACCAAGATGTTGGGATTTTATTATCTGGGCTACCTGTTGTTAGGGCTCGCTGAGGACACGTTGCATAAAGCATGTGCTTTCTAAATGAGATTGTTTTGTTTTCTTTAAGAGCTCAATGAATGCTATAAAAAGTAAAGTACGGCAAGGGCACTTAACTGGTTTTTATAGCTAAATCTTCCAACACTTGAAATAAATTTCTCAAACTCATTAATAATTCATAAGCTCAGCAACCAATGGATGGGCACTTTTCAGATCACGTGGATGGGTTTTGAAACCTAATGAAAAACCATTTTCATCACTAGTGTTTGTCGAATATTTTCGTCACTAGTGTTTGAAATATTTTCATCACTAGTGCTGAAATATTTCTTATATATTTGTCGTGGGTGTCTCAAAATAGCTAGAAGAATTTCTCATCCATTTTCCCCCCATTTACCTCATTTCTTTACCTCTCTCTCCTCCATTACTTACTTCTTATACTTCTATCTATTTACGTAATAAACTTTTTCTTTTCTTTTTAACTTATGGACTTATCATGTCTCGAACTTGGGACTCTTTGCGTAATAGTCTAGTGATTCACCAACTATGCCAACGAGGAATTTGCTGACAAAGTTGGGTTAGATCTATATTTTATTATTTTTTCCCCATACAACTGCCTAACATACATTAAATAAAAAAATAAAAACAAGGAAACTTCTTTTCCTGCATAATAAATTATTAGCTCCGTAGAGAAGTAATTCCAAAAACTCGTGCTTCATGTTTCATTAGGGTTTAGAAACACTCAAAAACAATATATGTTTTTCAAATGTTTTCTCGTGTTTGGAAACCCTAATGAAACACACTCACTCGTTTTTGAAATATTACTTTAGGTATATTGATATAGACCTTAGATTGCAAGAATGTTGACATATAAAAATA